AAAGTCTTTAGTAACTACTGACAAGTGGCTGAATGAGGACCATTTACAATCAAATGCTTGTTCTTTGGAATGTAGCATTACTTTTCCATCATTGCTAGGACACATTTCATCTTATTTCCAAGGAGATAAAAATGAATAAAAAGAACTTCTACTGACGTTAAAATGAATATTGTACAAAAAAAAAAGATGCGTATTGCTGAATGCGTTTCTTGTTCATACATCATGCCATCACTGTGTTTTAGTGAAATTATTTATTTAAATCTATAGATTACAGATGTACCTAGAAATACAGGAATATGACTTTGAAATACAATTTTTAGTTCAGGTCAAGGAATTAAAGATTTTTGAAAATAATATGAAATATGATGTTCTGGACATAAATGAAACTTTTGTAATCAGCTAATAATTAATATTTATCTTTGAGCAATCCACACACTTGATTTATTACTGATGATGCATTCAAATTGGAATTAATAATGAATGATTCCTGACTGATTTCATGTGAATATAATCTAATATTCAGACAAAGAAATTAAACAGCATGCAATTTATTATGCACCATAATATTGTATCTTTACCTTTCTATTAACTCGTGTGCCTGAAATTCCTCTATGCCATATAGTCTTGTTAATATGCCACCCCAAAAATTTCATTGGCCCCATCTGGGCCTCTCACTAAATACTTTCTGCAGGCATTACTGCTATCAAGAATCAACATAACAGATATCCTAGATTGCTCTCCTGGGCCCGATTAGCATTATTTGGAAACATCACAATGCTTTTAGTACATCATTTCTAACACAGCTCAAAACTATACAAAACGTCAGTTATTCTATATGCTCATTGTTCATAATGAAAAAAAGAAAAGTGCACATGCTAGTTATCACAGTGAACCAAAACACACAGGCCAGAATGAATGATGTTTCTGTTGGTCATAATTTTAGTAAATAAAAAACATTATTTATTAGTATTTAGCTTTAACCAAAATCTGACTGAAATATCAGATTCACTTTTAATTTAATGTTAAAACACAAGACTGCTGTGTTTGAACTTTTGTTTATCTGTCTACGTTCTGCTTCATTCATTCATGCTGTAAATATTCAAACTTCATGATTCATTACACTTTAACATTATGCACTGATTTATTCACTGATAGTGAAGAATCTCCATTACATTTTTGTCCGGGGGAGCAGAATGTCTTGCACCTCAGGGCCACACTAGAGCTCCCTCTAACTAACAGTCATCCATGAAATGAGAAAATCTATAATGCATTTAATTTTGCTCTCAGTAGATCTCCCAGTGACACCACAGGGACTACGTACACTGTAACAACCATCTTGCAACCTTTCAGCAATTTCCAGTCACACAATAGCTATTATTCACAGTGTCCACTGTCTCTCTTACACACACATGGGTGAATCTCCTTTCCTGCTTTATACAGTCTTGTAGGAATAGAGTATCCTTATAGACTACTGTATTTCTTATATATTTATTAGTTTGGCTCTAAGCACTGTAGGCCAACTGCACAATACCTTGGGCACTTAGGAGATGAATGCTCTATTTGTTAATAATCTAAAGTGGACGCCTTCAGTCATTTCAAGAATAATTCATTTGGACAGGCACACATGAACAAACTTGCTTGAAATCTCTATGAATCTCTCCATCTAGTTCCCTCTTGGTTGGTGAAAGGGGGGAGTAGTACAAACTGTATTAAAACACTTGAGATATATTAGCTAGATTATAAAACTACTACAAAAAATTAAGGGAACACTTAATCATCACAGTATAACACCAAGTTAGTTAAACTTCAGGGATATCAATCTGTTCATTTGGGAAGCGCAAGTGGCTGTGAATCACTTTCACCTGCTTTGGTGCAAATGAAAGTGACAACAGGTGTAATGAAGAGGCAAATGCAAGACAACCTCCAAAAAGGGAATGGTTTTACATGTGGTGGCCACAGAGAAATACTCTCTCCTTATCCTTCCTGGTTGATTCTGCTCAAGCTTTGTGTTTTGCTAGTGTCCTTGTCACTACTGGTAGCATGAGGCAGTACCTGCAGCCCAATCAGGTGGCATAGGTAGTCCAGTTACTCCAAGATGGCACATTCATATGTACAGTCACAAGAAGGTTTGCTCTGTCTCCTAGCACCGTCTGGGAGTAGATACCAGGACACTGGACAGGGCCATAGATGCGCAACAGCCCAGCAGCAGGACTGGTATCTGCTCCTTTGTGCAAAGAGCAACAGGAGGAGCACTGCAGGAGCCCTACAGAAAGACCTCCTGGCAGCTACTGGTGTGCATGTTTCTGACCAAACTGTCAGAAACAAACTCCATGAAGGTGGCATGAGGGACTGACGTCCTATGGTATGACTTATGTTTACAGCCCAGCACCATGCATCTCTACTGACATATGCCAGGAAACACCAGAATTGGCAAATCAGCCAAAGGGGCCCAGTTCTCTTCACAAATGAGAGCACGTTCACACTGAGCACATGTGACAGGTACAAAAGATTCTGGAGATGCCATGGTGAGCATTATGCTGCCTGAAAGATCACTGAGGATGACTGGTTTGATGGTCTGGGGAGGCATATCCTTGAAGGGCTGCACAAACCTCCATGTCATAGCCACCGGTACAATCACTGCTTTGAGGTACCGGTATGAAGTCCTCAGAGCGAATGTCAGACCTAACACTGGTGCAGTGGGCCCTGGGAGTGCATGCAGGCAGGTGGGGGCCATACACACTTCTGAGTCACATTATGAGTTGTCTTGATGAAATTCATGCAACTTGGATGAGCCTGTGATTCCAATTTTTCACTTTGATTTTCAATGTGATTTTGACTACAACCTCCATGGGTTGATGATTGTGGTTTCCATTGACCATTATGTCATTTTGTTCTGAACAAATTATACAAGTACATTAGTAAAAGTTTTCAACTCGAATAATTTGTTCATCAAGATCTGACGTGTGATTAATGGTCCCTTAATTTTTGAGCTGTTTATTTTTAGTCATAGAGGGGTTCTTTGAGGTAAAGAGTGATGCACTCATAGTCTTGCTCATGTCCCTTGCAGCAGTCTGTGCTTTAAAACTATACAAAAACTAAGGAGCTGAAAGGGGAAGATTTTTGGCAACATTCCACTGACTCTTAGTCTTACTGAATGGCTGTCAGGTTTAAATACTCTACATTCTCATCCAGGGATTTTGCTGCTCATTTATAATGCCTTACAGACAGCTCTCACATCCTGGTTGCACAGTGTAACCTTTACATTTGTCTCTAGGTTAGTTTGTGATAGTAGTTAATACAATATTAGAAAAGATATTTGGGGCAATCTTGATCCTATTTATTACATATTTCCCCATCTCAAATAGCATAGATAGTGCTAGACCGTTGACTGTATCTATGTACAGTCAATATGCTGAACCTATTTGCTATTGCATCAGTCATCGTGACCAGCTGTAAAGTCTGATGGTTGCACTTCAGTAAGTGGTAGTCACCAAATGCTAAATGAGCAGACACAGTATTACACATCTGGGCTACTGCCTCACAGTTGTCTCTCCTGCTCTCCTGTGTGCCATGGTGGCTGGCAGGCAGGCCATGTCTGTTGATATCAGTGTGGCTTAAATAGCCAACACCTTGATGGTTTGCTGTGTACCCTCTCAGTCTTCTCATCATTTATCTAAAAAAAGGAAGGGGAGACTGTGACAATGGAGAGGGGGGAAGGGGGTAAACAGTATTATGGTAACATGCTCTCTTAAATCTCATCAGCGATGAGATGAATGGGTATAGATAAAGACAGGGGCAGTTACAGCTCAGCCAGGTATTGTTCTTTCCCTCTATGTTCTCTGCAAAGTATCAAACAGTAGTGGAGTTATAATCACAACATATCACTGTGTCTTAATAGAACAAGTGATGTTGTCTTTTTATTCCCTGCATTACCCACAATGCAACACAACTGCTGACAGTTTGATTTACAGTAGTGTGATATGGGTATATAGTATGTAGTATGTAGTAGTGCCTAATGTAACCCAAGGCTTTAGGCTCAGGCAGAGATGAGGACTGGGCCTCACTTGACTTCAACCCCAGCCGATGCTGCTAACTTCATTAAAGCAATTTAATAGAATTCATCTGAGCATCTAATCGCCATGTTAGTGCTAAAAAACATTCAGCTAATGACTGATTAAACTGGAAAATAGTTTCATTATCAGCTGATTGTCTAGGGTACAAAAGACAGTTTGCAAAGATGTTGTCCAACCAACAGTCCAAAAGCCGAAAATATAATGTTGGACAATTAATCAAGATAACAACAATCAACAAACAATCAAACAAATATTTTACCTATAAATTCATTATCACACCTGATTTCCGTTGATACATTTAAGTAACATTTTCATTTCTAAAGAAAACGTGATCGAGTTATTAATTTCTTTTTTTTTTTAATGTAAGTATTTAGCCTAAGTTTTAAATATCTTTGTTTAGGCCTAATTGTTGAAGCAGACGCATCGCTTAAAGAACTGACGCTTTCATGTCCTCTTGAAAAGGAGAAAGACCAGAAAGACCATTACCCCGGCCACTTATCAAAACACTGCAGTTCCATTCGTTTCTGCTTCCTATTGCATCTTAACGCTATTTCGTGTGTAAGGGTTTCTCTCATTCGATAACTTATTTTTTAATCACTGACAAAATTATTACCTTTATTTTTATTTATTTATTTTACCCCAAGCCATACAGGACATTTATGATCAATGAACCCAAAACGTAGACAGAGGGGTGCCAGCAAAGTGGTTCGCCGTAAACATAGACAACCAGTGATAGAACAGCTATTCACTGTCCCAGAAAGAGGCGCGATCAGTGACTAAAAGACATATATGCCATTTTAAAGAGTGCATACGAAAATGTAAACAAATGTGTTTTAATCAGAAATAAACCCGTGAAGCACTGAGTGAAATTCAGAAGATGATTTTCCCATCTAGATTTCTCGTATCTATGGCCATGCAGTCGTGCCTGAACAACATCGTGAGCGCGCATGTCAGGTTCGCTGCAGAGATCCTGCTGTCTCGGCTCTCACGATTAATCGTGGGGATGGTGCTGATAGCGAGAGGCGGCGGACGACCTGCTTTACATGTTTAAATAGGTGACAAGGCCAGGTGGGGTTACATTTATATGGGTCGAGCACAAATTACTGCAGCCCTTTGTAGAAGAAGCGACACTACCAGGCCGAGGACAACGTTACTGATGGAATCCCCGGTCGCTGCTAGATGGAGAAACCGAAAGGGTGGACTCATAAATAATTAAAATAAATACCATCTGCTGCTAAAATATAAGGAAAATGCATCTGCATCAGGTGCTGACAGGAGCTGTAAACCCCGGAGATTGCTGCTATTCGGTGGGAAGCGTAAATGACATTCCTTTCACGGTGAGGTTTTATTTTGTAATTTTTTCCAAGATGACACCCACTGAAGCTAACAACTAGCTAGCTGGATAGTTAGCTAGCTAGCGTTATATTGGTTGCAAACGGACTGGTTAATGGGCTAAAGCACAGGCTAGCCGGGTAGTGTTCTAGCCATCTGCCGCAGATTCACAAACAGGGAGTCAAGGCTACTCGGGACATCCTTATTACAAGCCCCTCTTTCATGAATCCTGACAGTCAGCCATTCACAAACTAGCATCCTCTAGTAGACGCTGGACAGCGATTTATGCGTGATGTTACGGTAACGTTATGTCATTTATTCTTCCAAGACAATTGGGTTAACGCCAGCCATTCAAATAACCTTTAGCGGCATCTCGTAACGTTAGAATTACTACAAGGGAACTCCTTTGCGCAGTTAAAACATTAAATATTTTGCAGTGAGATACGCTTCGAAGAAATGTGGCACACTACAGGTACCTATGCTTGGAGCTTGACAAACCTGCGCACGAATACAGGAGGAAAATCTGTGTTTTGTGTGATTGGAGAAGTAGCTAAGCTTGCTACCATTTGGTATTAAACCCCCCAAGGATCAGTAGCTCGTTGTCACCCTAGCATCAGCTGCGCCAGCTATGACGTAGAGAGCCATATATGGATACATGAGCTAGAGGTGTTTTGGCCCTGGAAAACACAGATTTCAAAACGTGGTGCCATCTGCCATTATTCTGAGTTTAATGAACCAGAATAAACGTGTATTTTTATGACTAAAACTGTCGGTTTCTGTGGGGGAGCTTGTCATTATTTGTATTGCTCATGCTGATAAAACACTATACTTTGAACCATATTCAGTGTATTAGGTGTTGACATATTTAGGTTATAATATTTTTTGCCTGTCTGAAGTCTGGCAGCTTCCCAGCATTTCTCTTTGTGCCTCAAGCTGACAGGACTGCCCTGTCTATATCCTATTTAGTGCAGTGAGACATAGAGATGAACCATTTGTTATAACAACCTCTTTTGTGGTAGCAAGCAGGATACAAACTTCAAAATATTGTGGTTCTTATGCTTAAAATGAATGATTTGAAGTTAACCCTTGTGTTCTGTTAAGGATCTTAAAGAGCACATGGCATGCTTTTCCTTGTTTTCTGTTAAGTCAATAAAGAGGGAAAAGCATGCCATGGGCTCTTTAGAGTAGAGATGAGACCACAAGATGAATGGTATTGACTTCACTGACAACGGTATGATCTTTCTCAACATCACACAAGGAAATCCCCTTTAAATTAATGACTGTTTTACCTGAATGGTTAAATCAAGTTTTGCCATCTAGACGTATCTTTTGGGGATCTCATTTTTGTTTTGTTTTTACTAGAATGTTTATATTAAATAAGCATTTTATTGTTTAATTTTTACAGTAAAATGACAGATGCTTTGTATAAAAAAAGTAATTACTTGAAATGTAGAGATGTCCACACAGATTGAAACTGCTAAATGGAATTACTTTGTCATTACATGAGATAGTCTTTACGTTTACAATCCCAGTTCATGCCAGAAGCAACATAACTGCATCAGGTAACTTTTGCCAGTGATGGCTCACATTAAATTCTCGAGCAGCTATGTTGCACACTACCGTTCCCTCATGCATCATGAGCTTGTCTAATGGCTGCCAAACCTGGGATTGGTCTTGTTAGTGAGGTGGTGTTTTGTTGTTGCAATTTGATTTTTTTTTTTTTTTCCAGAAACACAGAGACACTACTCCCTTAGTTAGTTAAATTTATTGCAGTCATTTATTTTCTTCTTCATTTTTATTCAAAATATGGAAAGGAGCTGTCTCCCTTTACATTGACCCCAGATCAAGGCTGTTTGAATGTAAACAGGTGGGCTTTTTTTTTTTTTTTTTACCAAGGGTCATATATGCATAATAACATAGGACAAAGCTAATTGTACAGCTACAGTCTATCATGTTGCCACAGGGTGCTAGTTCTATGCCTGGTGTTTTCTTTCTGTGTCTGAGGGGGTATTTGAAGAACACTAGACATTATGTCCAGTGCAGTTAATTTCACACTGACCCCTAGGGCTCCTAGGCCAGACCCAGACACACGCAGAGCAAACCTATCACAGTTGCAAATGCACCAGTTCAAATGAGGAAGAATGAAATTAGAGCTTCATTGGAAATGAAATCATTCCATTTCCATGTTTTCTTTGCTTCTGCAGTATTGTGCTCTCAACTGATGTTGACATGATGTTGAACATCGTGTTGAACTTAAATGATGGTTAGTAAGATGGTTAGTTAGTAGCAGGAACCCTGTTGCTGCCAGTTCACTGGGCTAATGGAAGGTTTATATAGCTATGTGTTGAGAACCTACTGCCAGAATGGTTAGAAGTAGGCTATGAGCTGTAATGTGAAAGAACCAGATAGTAAGAAGTATGAAGAGATCTGTGTTCTTTTTCACAAGCATAATGTTGGTTGTCTTTTGAAAATATGGTAATTGCCATTAATTAAATAGCTTTTTTTAAGTTTTGATTGTTCAAAAAGGCTAAAATATATTGTCTGTTGAATTACAAATAAGTCTATATATGAACAGCTGTTTAGCATTTTCAGCTATGTAGTTTGATTTGTGTCTGTTGATCACTGTTAAAAATAGACCAGTGTGATAATAACATTTTGAGGGGTTGTAAAAATGGCTGTTAGAAAGGCCATTATTCTGTTAAGTATGCAGTGGTTATAGTTGCACAGTGCATTCAGTTATGGAGTTAGGACAGTTTAAGTCGAATAGGCCATGTGGACACCAAATACTGACCAAAAAAATAAACGACCATAATATTTTTCTGCTCCAACACCCATGAGGTTGTTGCAATTGCAGCCAGTTTAGCTGGATACATTGATTAAGTTAGATATGTTATGATCAGCAGACAGAATAGAGACAGACTGAAGCTGGACCTGGTGTAGTTTGGCTGTTAATGCCCACAGTTTCACTGCAGTCATGCATAAGAAGGCCCATATGGTGTCCCTACTGTCGCTGGGATCAAAGTACAGTACAGGTCTGTGCTATAGGCTTTTCCAGGGTTGATGTATTAACACAGATTGACAGAAAGACCAGGTTACTAGTTGTCAGATTAATCCTTTTGTTTACAGATATTTGCAGGCCTTTGACCAAGGCTTTTGACTACAGCTCAAAGCCAGCTTGTTAGCACAACCATGAAAAGGTGTGATCTGTTGCAGATGTTGCACATTAGCAGCTGTGACTCTGTGACATGCTCATATGATTGCGTTAGGCATGGGGAATAAGTGACATGTGATGGGATGAAGGCAGAAGTGATCTCTCACTCTCTTTCTCTTATCTCTGTTCATTACAGCAGCACATGACTCTATTCATTGTTTTATTCTAAAATACATGTATGCTGAATACCAGTTACACCCATGCCTCATGGAAGTTATATTTATGCAAATAACCTTGTTAAGATACTCTTAACTAATGATATGTAGACTGATTTCTGTCGCTCTCATCAAGTAATATAAACACTGTAGCTGACAATGCTGTCTTTCAGTAGATGAGAAGTGGAATTTGCTGACTGAGCTTTTAAAAGAACAATAAAAGGGGCTTCCCAGAGTTGAGCTAAAGAAACCAGCCTGGTGAGTCAGTGTTTTTGGTACATCAGACAGTATTATACCTACTGTAATTTTCTCAAATATCTAACTTGAAATACAGTTTTCTGTAAACCTTTATATGAAATAACGCTACCAATAAAGTGCCAGGTGAAAAGTAAGTAAAGCGTCACATTTCCAGTCAACAGTACTTATCAAAAAATATTGGTGGCGTTTTACATAACAATACAGTCACATTGCATTGTTTCTCTGCTCAAAGTAGATGCAAGTCCTTTGTGATTGGTATTGTGTTGCAGAGAGGTAATATTTATCCAAAGGCAGCAACATTCTTGATGTGAGCAGTTTACATGACTGACAGGCAGGGAACATTGCTGCTTCAGGACTGCGTTAAGTCAGTGGATTTGGATTTAGATTCAAATACATTCATAGACAGAATCGCTGTCTTCCTAAGGCTGTCTTTTGCTGAGTCAAATAACTATCCTGACGGCTAGCTAAACATTAATCTAATTATAATCGGTGTCTAGCAGACCTCCATGTCTTCATTTTGTTTGCTTGAAAGGCTGCCTTTGATTGAAATACCTAGTTCACTGAGTTGTACCTGTCTGACTGACTGTCCAATATTATTGCCCCTTAGCATATGAACACAGTCCTGCAGCCAGCTCTCTTAAAGACTAGTGCTTGTTAAGACCAAAGTGTACCATATTCGTGAACACTACCAAGTTGAATCTATAAATTGACTCAAAACTCACTGAAAACAGAAATGACATTTTAGTCCTGTTTGTTCATCTTGTTAATGTTCTGGCTGAGTATATAATGTTGTTTCAATGGTTACCTTACCATGGTGCCATTTATCAGTATTGTAGCATTGGGGGTGGAGAGACAATTGGCGGGGTCCCCCAGAATGCCTTAGAGGGGAAGTACCTGGTGGGATCGGGTTGGTGGCGGGGTCCCCCAGAATGCCTTAGAGGGGAAGTACCTGGTGGGATCGGGTTGGTGGCGGGGTCCCCCAGAATGCCTTAGAGGGGAAGTACCTGGTGGGATCGGGTTGGTGGCGGGGTCCCCCAGAATGCCTTAGAGGGGAAGTACCTGGTGGGATCGGGTTGGTGGCGGGGTCCCCCAGAATGCCTTAGAGGGGAAGTACCTGGTGGGATCGGGTTGGTGGCGGGGTCCCCCAGAATGCCTTAGAGGGGAAGTACCTGGTGGGATCGGGTTGTGGAGATTGTGTGTGTTTTGTTGCTCTGCAGTTGTGTCTGGGGAAAATAAAAGAGGAAAAAGGCAACTTCTGTCTCTGGCTGCTTCCTCAAGTTAGCCTCTGCTACAGTATTATATTGTTACCAGTGAGTCATCCTTTTTTGTAATGTCAGTACATTGTTCTGTGTGTGTCTGTCTGTGGCTGCCTTTTGCTGATACAAATAAATATCCTGACAACTAGAATATTTATTTGATTCCGCATCAATCACATAAATGCTTGTGTGTTTTGGGATGAAATACAAGACACACACAAGCTCAAACTAGAAGAGCAAAGCTCTGAGGATAGGCCATCTTGTTTAAGGTGGATGTATCACAGCTTACCAGCATGCCTCTGGTTTCTACCCATTGATATACCCTTACTAGCCACTTTATTAGGTGCACCTGTACAATTGTATGCAATTTAATACAACACTTCTGCCTTAACCTCTGTGTTTATGAAACTCAAAATGTTTCAGTTTTTGGTGACATTGTCATAAATGTATAAATACAATTATATGTTTATTATTTATTGAGGTCATAGTTAAATGTGGTGTTGTACTGGACTACATTATATTTAGAGCTGTCTCTATATTTTGTCCTCCCCAGCTACATACTTGAGGGGGTCAGAATATTAGGAACACCTCTGAATATATAGTAATGTACAGTACAACCGATTTGGCAACCAGCCACCAGGGGGCGATCACTTAGAGGCTCCCTTCACGGTACGAGATTCACTTCTGGTAGCTCTTAGCGTGTCCATCGTTTTTACAGTCAGTGGTTCTACCATGTTCATATTACCTCGCTGGTAAAGAGAGTACAGTGGACTCACACATTCTCATGTTTGTCTACTTGTCAGCAGTAATGAAGACTGGTTTGAGTTTTATAACATGGGAGTGAGAACATTTTGGCTGGTCCTTACTTTGTCCCACACCTTCAAAAGGGCTATTTTATGGTTCAGACTTTGTTTTAGGCTTCAGGCTAGAATTAGGCTAGGTTAGAGTAAGGCCTGGGCTTTGACAATTGGTTGTGAAGGTTAGGTGTTAGGAATGCATTATACCACAGTATGCTCTCAAAGACTGCTGTACAAACGCATGTAAGAATGGAGGGACAGAGGTGCAGAGCAGTCCCAGACAGTGCGTGACGGTGACTGATTTTTTTATTCCAGCTATAATATGAGGAAACAAATGCTGCAGTACAAACTGTGCTTCCCTTACTTTTTCTGTCTCTCATGTATTATGCTATAGCATGTAAAGTCCTTTAACAGCCTTTGTTATAATTTCATCCCTGGCTGTTACTTTATACCATACTACTGTCCTGTTGTGTGACCCAGTGGTTCCCAGCCTCTCCTCCTGTTCTCGTGAATAATAAAAGACACAAGCCGCCATCCTGACTCCCAGCTGCTGCTACCACTTCTGCCATTCTACACATGGTTGCCGGTCGCCTGCAAACCTCAGTTGTATTCATTTATCTTCCTACCCATAATCCAGATCTTAACACAGGGCTGCCTGCTAATCAAGTACTGTGTATGTCTACTTATTGCACATAAGTAGGTGTTTTGTTTTCATACAGTGATCAGTAAAACGGCATCTTATAGTTTTATTGTTACATGGTTTCTGTGCTATATTTGCCACCACAACATAGCTGTGCTATGGTGATTTAAGGTAACTGTTATGCTATGCTAATCCTGTTTTAATATCTCACCCTGCTTATGCAGTATTCATATTAGTGTCACTGAGTGTTATTATAGTCGACTTTTTGTCATTTCAATGACATTATATTGCACATCCAATTTCACTGTGGAAAATGTTTTTTAGTGTATTATTAAGTGGGACTCACTGTTTTTGCATTTTGCTGCGATATTTACTATTTTAAGTTTCAGTCATTTGGTTCTGTTTGCTTTTTGCGATTCAGTCAGTTTGTCCTCATGTATTTTTTTTGTTTTTTTCTCCAGGCCTATGGTTCCGGTTGTGATGTAGTGATCTTGGCTAGTAACTTTGACTGCGTGCAGATTATCCCTGGAGCTCAGAATGGGAACATACAAGTGGGCTGTGTGGAGTGCTCCCACCAGCTTGGCAGGGTAAGTGTTGAGTACACAACCAGACACACGCCTACATGCAGTTTTCATTTTTTTGGTGTAGCTAGAAGACAATATCAATTGTGCAGTGCACAAGGACGTACATTGGGCCCTGCATTTGTTCCTGTCTTGTACTGCCCATACTCTCCTGTCCTTGCTATCCTGCCTGCTCTCTTGCACCACGCTCCCCACTCACCCCTGTCCTGTGGGAATGACTGTGCAGCAGCACTGATGAGTTGAGTAGTGGTGTGATGATGAACACAGCTCTTTATTTTTAGATTGCTGCATCCTATGGAAACACAGTCTGCATCTTTGAACCTCTATCTTCCAACCCAAACAAACGCCACAAGGTGAGCATGATTGTCAGTATTTTAGACATATGCTCTTAGTGGTTTAAATCGATGTCCGGTGAATTTAATTACATGTCTCAATAACACTGCATGGTGTGTGCTGCTTTTCTGTCACTAACAGCAACTTAACTATCAGTGGCAAAAGACAGGGCAGTTCTTCCTTGATGCCATCACCTACAACCTGGCCTGGGACCCACAAGGTATTCCCATGCCTTCTGTGATTAATTTGATTCACTGACTAAATGAATCCATACAGCTCCTACTTGCAGCCCCCTTCAGGTTGTCTGTGATTACATGCGCCTTATGTCACAATGTGCATGTGGCTCTCTGTACTGTAGAAGTCAACGTGGGATGTGAAGTGTGTAATATAGTGTTTTTGTGTCTTCAGGGAACCGTATCCTAGCAGCAACTGAGCGGCTCCAGCTGTGGGCTCCTCCACTGGCAGATGCCCTGATAGAGGAAGAGGATGGGCAGATGAGTGAAGACAAACCACACCCTGTTCTCAGTGACTGGAACTGTGTCTGGCAGTGCAAGTATGTTTTTTTGCTCTTGTACAGACTGTAGAAACATTTAACACGATTCGCAAGTAGAAAACTAAGCTTGCCGGTTTAAGGTTGTATATATTCTGTCAATATATATATATATATATACATTTGCATTCTCCTGGTATATATTCTTTGTCAAAATCCAAAGATAATTTATTATAGAGTCAAGTGCAGTTATTCAGAGACAGGTGCTTTTAAAGTAAATAGTCTCTTAGTATTGTCTACTGTTCAAGCAAATATGTCAATACCCTGACAGCTAGCCGACAGCTGCATTGTTTAGACCTGTGTCTTCTTATTCTGCACTTCCTCCTCTCTGTCTTGGTTTCGCTGCCTTGACAATGTCAAGCTAGTAAAGGATTTCTTTAGCCAAAATGGAGATTGGTCATTTTAAGTACCGGTAAAACATGCTTCACTCATTTTTGAGTCGACTGCAATTGTGTTAATTCTCGTTTCTTTTTTTTCTGTCATACAGTTAGGTTTGTTTGTGCAAACCAAATATAAACTTAATTCTACAGCCTTGAACAGGAATAAATTATCCCAGTATACTAATATAAACCTATTGGCAGCCTCACATGAAGGGTTTATACTGTTGTTGTGAGCCTTTCTTTTGATTCAGTGGCCTGTGTGCTGAGCTGTGTCAACAGACACGGACATATAATTGTTATCTGATGACACATGTGCATGGCTTTGAAAGCCACTAAAACAGGGAAATGCAAGCTCTGAAATTACCAGCAATAGATCTTGCACAAAGCAACTGCACACATACTTTGACAGCTGAGAACCACCTGTGTTTTTTTTTCTGTGGCAAGTTTCCCTTGAGGAACTTAATATAGCTGATATTGTTGCTTGCATTTCTTTTAGAACTGCTGCATCTGTTCACATTGCCAAGTGGTCTCCTGATGGGGAGTACTTTGCAACAGTTGGGAAGGTATAAGAATTGTGTAACCACTGAAATTGAAATGTTTTTCTAAGGTCTTTGGTGATGATTATATGTAATTTATGATTGTGCATGTGTGTCCACATACAGGATGACTGTTTACTTAAAGTGTGGTATCCCACCACGGGCTGGCGTTCTGCAGTGGTGGTTCAGGACCCCTCTGACAAAAAGCCTCTTCCTGTTAACTTCTCTTTTGTTTACCTGGCTCATCCTCGCTCTGTCACTGGTATGTCTTGGAGGAAGACCAGCAAATACATGCCCAAGTAAGAAACGCACGCAGTCACTTGGTCAGGGTGGCAAGTAATATGCTTATTTTTATACTTTCTTGTACATACTTGTTATTTTCTAAAGCAGAGTGTAATTTATTAGGTTTTTTCCTCCCTGGAATTGCCACAGTGTTAATGAATAGGTTGTAAAATCATTTTTCTACATTATTTTTATCCACTCTGCAATTTCTATATTTGTTAGAGTTAATTTGAGGGGTTTAAAGGTGTGATATGAAAAATAACAAAAACAAATGTTCTCTGATTCCAAGTATTCAAAGACCTGCCAGCTGTACTTTTAAATTTATAGTGATTTCTGTTGCTGTAGGTTCTCAGTTACTGATTGTGACAGACATTTGCATTCTCCTGTTGCTTCTAGGGGTTCGGTGTGCAACGTGCTGCTGACATCCTGTGAGGATGGAGTGTGTAGGTTGTGGTCAGAGACCCTGCTACCAGAAGACAGCTTACTTGGAGGACAGATCTCAGAGAACACACACTCCTTCAGCTCTAGCCTGCCAGGCCTGGCAGGCAATAAGGACAAGATCCAACATGCTTTAGAAGTAAACTTTCTTTATTCTGTCATTTCTGAATGATTCAAAAAAGATAATATTAAGCGTTAGCCATTTTTGATAAATGAATAGCATAATCCTGGTTTCTGTATTTTATTCCTGTGCTTTGCTTGATTAGTCAATCCACCACCTGAAGCATCTGCGTCGGGGCCGGCGGCGATCCTCTGCTCTGGTGGCACACAGTGAGCTGCTGCCCTCTCAGCTTGGAACACAGGACATGCACACTCACCACCACATCGCTCATCATGCCAATGCGCTGTGTCACTTCCATATCTCAGCTAGCATTAACCCCAACACAGGTAGGCGCTTATGTGGGAACTGGCTCAGCAGCATTTCTTTTTTAACATCATACATCTATATATACAGTAGTTGCACTATTAAACTTTTAAGGGTGTTCTATAATGTTCATGTTTCAGTTAATTATTCTGTAAAAGTGACATCACATCTTCTGTGTTGATCAATTTTAGATTTACATACTTGCATTTATTTACTTAGAGTTGTTTTAAGTCACATTTTTGTTATAAAATCTAATTACATAATGAAACTTCTTTATTGCAAAAACATTTTGTTTTGCATTCAGTACAAGCTTTGCAGCAGAATGAATGGATGGCTTCTGTGACTGACAATAAAATAATCATATTTGTTAGTAACCACTTCAGTGCAGCTGTGAACCTAGTACACAGTAAGCTTGAAGGATATTTTATTTACCCTTTGTCTGACTACTTTGATCCATATGTCTCTTTGTCCTCCATTTTCTCTTGTCCTCCGACAGATATCCCATCAGTGCTAGCTGACTCTGCAGTGTTCAACACAGATGATGGTTCTGGTGGTGGAGGCTTTGTGGTTCACTGGCTCAACAATAAGGACCTCAGCTTCACTTCCTCTATGGACCTCTTCATGTTGCAGCTCCGTAAGTTCTCTGAGCAGCAACTGGACCAGACTACTGAGGATCCTGTGGTTCCCGAAGGAACCCCTATGAAGTTTGACTTTGGTATGTCCCACACTCAGGCCATTACCCACTCCTTAAAACACATTAGCTTAAAAGCAAGATTATCTTATATATAAAAAAAAAAACATACTGATTTCTGTCTTTCTAGATCTGGATGACATATCTGACAAAGCCTCCTCAGATCATGGTGAAGAGGCTGAGCCAGGGGAGCAGGGGAGCACCAAGGCATCCTCCCCGGGATCCAGCTCCAGCATGCCTTTGCCCTCCATGCTGCTGGAGAGGAAGATGGAGACTCTGATCACAGAGTGGAACAAGAGCCCAGACATGTTGTTCACCATCCATCCTGCCGATGGATCTTTCTTGGTTTGGCATGTGAAGTACTTGGACGAATTCAACCAGGGCATCTTCAGACAGGTTCAGGTGAGTAGAAAATCAAGAACATGAGAGAACTTTTTTTTTTCCACATCTTGCTTGTATTTTCACATGCAAAGTATCTGACACATTGGAAAAACAGCTTTTGCCCACTAACTCTAACATACCTGATTTTCACATGCTACTTAACTCAAATACTGAAGATCCTAGTTTGAAACAGTTTAGCTTACCGTTTTAAATCATTGATCTCACATAAATGCAAGTTTAACTAAGAGAATATGGTTCCTGAAACTGATATGACACGGTCAGCTAGAGAGTTGTTGGGACCACAGACACCCTCTATTATTACCCTCAAGGTTGTAAGCAGAGTTAACAGATTGAATCTTCTTCACTCAGTCTTTGGCTGAGTACAAACAGCGGCCGCAGAGAGTACTTCAACCTCATAACATACAAATTCAATTTTGGCCTGTCATCAAGTAGTTGAACAAATTCATGATAGCATTACCAAGCCAAAAAGCATATTGTTAATGATGTAACTACTGATTAACTAAAGAACTGACATCACAATGGTATGAATTTCAAATTTATCCTAATATGTCTCCAGTGTTTCCCCCTAGGATTTTTTTCTAGTATTGGTGCTGTTGTGTCCACAAATGTGTGACTTTGTACCCTTTTTAATTGCTAGCCTTTACACATTAACATCCAAAAGACACATTCCCTCATTATCTTAAAAGGTGACTAGTTTCCATCCTTACTTTTCTGACCTCAGGTCCTCTGTGGTACCTATCATCCTCTCTTTTATTAATGATCCATGCTTCCAGACACATCTGAAAATTCAGAAAATGCAGTCATTAGTAATTCAGCACACTGTCGTACTATCTCTTTAGTTGGGTGCCCAACCCGAATTCTTAATGAAAAATGTGCAGGTATTTCCTCAGTGTATGGAATAGACTGCACAGCGGTGTTTAATGTGTAGCCTAATTATCGCTTAGTTGTTGACATTTAGAAACGTTCACTTTGTTTTTCTTAGTTCTGGGGCATATTATATATTTTTACTGCCTTCTGAGTGAGTTGACCAGCTGCTGCACACGTACCCATGAACAGCCTGTTTTGAACTGCTAAACAGTATCATATTTGTGGATGTGTGATAGGGTTCCCTTTCTTTTATACAGTACTGCTGCACACACACAGTCAACTGCATGCAAGAGCAAGTTGAGTATCAATGAACCATGTGAAATTTCATCAGTTAAAGTAGCTAAATGGTTAACTCAGAAGCGGTGGTGGCCACTAGTTTCTGTGGTGCTAAAGTCTGTGCCTGTGTTCCTTAAGGTTTATACTTTCCTCTAACTCTCCCACCAGGTGTCCTTCTCTTCCCGTATTCCAGTGGCATTTCCTACAGGTGATGCCAACTCACTGAGTAAAAACATTTTGATGTACGCCTGCACTTTGACTGAGGGTCAGAGTGCCGGAGCAGGGGAGCAGGGGAGGATGGTCCAACGTGTTTCCCACTCTGCTTCAGCCTCTGCCGGCCTTGGTTCATCCACCTTGGCACCCTCTCTTAACCCTCACCCTGGTATCAGTCCTGCTGTCATGATGGTCTCCAAGCATGTTGATGGATCTCTCAATCAGGTAGAACACTGAGGCTCAAGATGCACTACTTTTTCTTCAGCCAAGGGCAAGTGCATGCATGTTTTCATAAATGTCCACTCTTGATGAAGGTGTTCCCTAAAATAGCCTTGTCTAAAACGCCATACTTTTATGTCATAACCAAATTAATGAATTGTTTGTAATAGTCTTCCCAGCCATCACTGCACTTGATTTGTTCCCTTTGTCTGCAGTGGGCAGTGACATTTGCTGAGCGTTCTGCCTTCTCCAACGTACTCACCGTATCCCACAAGTTCCGCTACTGTGGCCACCGCTTCCATCTGAATGACCAAGCCTGCCACACAGTGCTGCCACTGCTACTGACCTCTTCTCACCATAATGCTCTGCTAACCCCTCCCTCAGCCCCTAGTAGTCTGGAAGGAGAACATCCTCCTACCTTCCCCTTTCCAAAGAGCCTTCCCAGGTATAGAACAAAATCAAGGCAGAGAATGATGGACCGCTCAACACAGTACTGATTGAAAAGCTAGAGGAGTGAGAGGCTGCTCTTCACTGTGAATGGGACCTGGCACTGCAACCCAGTG